CGTAGGGTTAGTCCTCTGATAGTATCTGCCATACTGTGCATAACAAAGACTTGAAGGCCTATGGCATCATTGGGGAGCCCACAATGTACCCTGTGAATGAGTTAGACTGGGTGCCTGCCATTAAAAAAAAGACAGAAATAGTTGTTGCAGTTAGATTTGGAATGTTCCCTGAAAGCCTCATGTATTCAGAGGTGGGGTTTTAGGAAAGTGATTAGATTATGGAGGGCTACAGCTGACTTGAAGTGGGGCCTGGCTGGAGGTGGGTCACAGGGCATGTGACCTGGAAGGGTATATTCTCATCCCTGACTCCTCCCTTCTCTCTTTGATTCCCGACCACCAGGATGTAAGGAGCTTTCCTCCAGGCCAGGGTCTTCCACCATGCCCTTTCACCCTTGGACTGAAAATCTAAGTCAGAATAAACCTTTTCTCCTTTGAGTTGTGGGTGTTGGGTATTATGTCTTGATGACAAGGAAAGTGACTAATAAATAAAATATTTCCCACAATAAAACCATAAGGCCCAAATCAAAAAGTATAACCAATGCTTTCCAAGTGTACCTTAACTAGAATTCTCCCACCCCAACCCACTCACTGGCCTGACAGTAGAGGATGGAAGGGGTGGAAGATGAGGAAATGTTGAAAGATGCCACTATACTCCTTTCTCCCACTGAAAGTCCCTGGAACAGGTAGACCAGATCTGAGGTGAGAAGTCCTGAATCAGATGGAAGAATAACATTTTAACTGTGAAGCAGGACTTAAAGGAAAACAAGTCCTTACTGGTCTTGGGCAGCCCTCCTTATCTCCACCCTCTCCCCTGTAGCTGTAACTCTTTATTCTGGTACAGATAAAATTAACAGCTATGTCCTGTAAGCAAAGTTTATGACACTCTGTTCTCATGTGATTCATAAGACACTGTCTTCTTTCAAGGCAAAGTTACAAACCTGTCTGCCCTGTCCTGTACTGGTAAACTCACTAGCTATGTCCCTAGAAAAACTACTTCCTTCAACAAAATGTATAAAAGCTGAAGCTTCTCTTCAATGCTCAGCCATTTTGAACACAAAGTCCCCTGACCTGGTGTATACACCTTAAATGAATCCTCCTGACTCCCACTTAGTCTTTCTTGTATCTCAGAATTCTACAACAACTGTGCTAAACTGTTTTCTTTTCTTTTTTAAAAAACATAATAAGTGATGAGAAAGTAATGGAATCTGTTGAGACAACGTTAAAGGACAGGATGGTGTTACTTTGTGATTACTAATAAGTCTTCCCTGGTGGGAAGACTTTTCACTGCCACAGAGATGTTGGGTCTTCTAAAGGAAAACTTTAGAAATACAGTATTTAGGTTGTGTTGAACAGGAGAAAATCCAGTACTTGTACTTAGGGGAAACTGATTGAATCACAACAGTAAATTCTAGTCTGTTATGGGATGTCTTTGTGACTTCTCTCTAGCCATAGCTTCCTACTTTAAAATAGACAAGATAAAGAAAAATTATTATAATAGATACCTCTTGAGATGGCTGCCTGGTTCCCTTCTTTGTCAGGAAATAGACTCCAATACATAGGGATATGTAAGATCTGAATCATGTGGCCCAGCCTCCCATAACCAAGACAGGACACATTTCCCATGCTAGGGTAGGTGGTCTACCCTGGCAGTATTGAATAGGGGAACCCAGAGGCTGAGGGATGTTGGCATTATTACCAGTCACTGAGAGAAGCCTATACTCACCTGTTGCTGATCTTAGAAATGCCCTGCTTCTAGCTCTTTTTGGGGCTTGACTGTTCAACTCTTCTTCACTTTCATAAGATTCCCTGGCAGCTTTTCAGTAAATTTCTTATTTGGTTAAGTTACTTGTACTCCAAGGTACTTTTTGTTTTTAAAGCATCCACTCAACTTTTAAAATTCTAATATTCTGTGACTTTATGGCACCTGTTACACTTGACAGATTGTAACCACAAGTGTTAACAACAGACAACTGACAACTATGGCAGTGGTGAAAGACTGCAGTTTTGGCAGTCCTGGCATTGATGAAAAGTAGAGCCATTCCCTTTGATAACATCAGGTTTTTTTTTTTTGGTACCGGGGATCGAACTTGGGTCATTGCGCTTGCGCAGCAGGCAGCAAAACCACTGAGCTAAATCCCCGGCCCCATCATCAGATTATAATTAGGTAAATTAGTACTTGTTGTGTATAGAGACTAGTTTTAGTTCAACAGTTGATATTAGAGGTATAAATGATATTTATAGAAAGAGATATTAATTTCCAGTATAACAAACACACAAGCAAAGTCATATTTTCTGACAGACAATGTCAATGGAACTATTATTAAATATAAAGAGTTTAGTATGTATTTGGGTTAGTTTATCACTAGACCTCATGACCCAGTATCTCACTGTACTGATTGAATTGAATGATCTGGATATTTTGAGGACAATTGTTGCTCTGTAGTTAATTCTCCTTGATAATCCTGAACATTAAAAAAAGTTTAATTCAAAGTACACATATTTTGTCTTACATCATTATAATATAATCTGATACAGTGCAGTTATCAAGTGTCTATCAAAAAGACTTTATAGAAATGCCTCACCGAATATTAAAGTTTAGAAGTGCAATTTAACTTTTATTATGAAACTTTGTAATTATGGATTCTTCAGGATCCTTTAAAAAGTTATTCTTAGGATTTCCCAGAGTGAAAGGCATGCCACTCAGTGGATAGAAAGCAGTATTGCAGGTAATAAATGGCTATGATTGCATTTATAATGGTGAATTTCAGGACATTGCCACTTGGGCTAGGGAGATGGATGAGCAAGCTGAAACTAAGAAGGGTTACAAGAGTATTTTGATCTGGTGATTAATGTTAGTGGCAGAACTGTAAAGTTTGTGTTAATAGAGACATACTGCTGAGGGAAGCATTTGTTCATTATTAACCTGAGGTGATTGTGTGTTCCCCACCTTATCCTGAGGACATTTGTCAATATCTACAGACATTTTTGGTTGTCAGCTGGTGTGTGTGCGGAAATATACTGTGTGTGTGTATTACGGGCATGTAGTGCCAGGGGTGCTGGTATCCAACCTATAATACACAAGACCATCTTCCAGTGAGAACTGTTCAGCCCAAAATGTCAACAGTGATGCTGCTGAGCAATCTGATTTATAAAAATTAATTCTATATGTTTTTGAATTCACATTTGCTTCCAATAGGTTTAGTCAAAATCTTTTTCAGATGTTCAAATTTGTTTCTTAATAAATGAAGTACACTTTGTAATTTGGATTCATTTTATGAGCAATAAATATGTAATTTTGTTAACCACTTTTAGAAGTCAGGAAAAGTTTGGATTTTCACACATAATTTTCTTGAATTTTGCCCTTTCTTGTTACCAATTCAAAGTTTTCCCTCACTTCACCCCCCATTTTCTTCTACTATACCCCATTTCATTAGACTAAAATATAACCTATACACTGACCAGGGGCAAATACAATGAGTTCATTTAAAATTTGAATAGAACTTATTTTTTGTGAGATTACTATTTAATCTCCCTTAGATAAAAAAAAGTCTTCAATTTGGGTCTAGGCACATGTGACCAAGCTTATTTCTGCAGTTTTGAAATGAAACACATTTCAGATTACTTGTAGAGTCTGGCATGATAAATTCTTCTCTGTTGGAATTAATCTCTTTAAGGTAAGTAAAATGCTTGATGTACCTTCTCTTTTGTTTTTTGGTACAGGGATCGAACTCGGGTCCTTGCACTTGTGCAGCAGGCAGCAAAACCACTGAGCTAAATCCTTGGCCCTTGACATATCTTCTTAAAAATATTACTGGTATTTTTCCGTGTTGGCTTACTGATGTTAATAATGAATTTAATTATGTCCCACAATGTTACATGCATAGACATAATGTCTTAGAAATTTTGTAAGGATTACTTTACATTATTTTGTGGGCCAGGGATTTAGCTCAGTGGTTCAGGTTACTACCTCAAAAGCGCAAGGCCTGGAGTTTGATCCCCGGTACCAAAACAAACAAACAAACAAAAAACAAGCAAAAAAAAACCCCGACAAAAAACAGTACTTAACGTTAAGTATTTTGTAAGTCTAGGGATAAAACACATATGGTGTGAAATTTAAGACTAATAAAATATAGTGGACTTTTAGAAAGTAACAGCCAAGTTCTGCCCCTAAATTCCTAACTCTGAAATTGCTAGGATAAGGAAACCTATAAAAAGTATAGAAAGAACTGACTTAAACATCAAAGTATAGATAACTGCAGGTGCTTACCAGAGAGTGTGCTAGAGATCTAAAACCACTTCTCTATAAGAAATGTTTGCTTAGAAAATCACGTGACACTTATTTTAACAAGTTTATTGTTTCTTGGTAAGTACAGAAATATAGAACTTTACTAAAATTTTCCTACCTTTTAAGCACTTAGTGTTTAGGGCAGTGCCTCTAACATCTAGCAAAATGCTTGATATAGAGCAAGCAAAATCAAAACCAAACCAAAAATAACAAATAGTTACATATTCAGTGAAGAAAATCTCCCTTTGCAGTGCACGCTCCCATGTAGTTGTTAAATACCTAGCATCTCCTCCTGTGTGTATTTCCCATTTTCCTGGTATTGGCAGATCTGTCAAAGCTGCCAAACTCAACTTACTGTTTTCTAACCCTAACCTACTCATTTTCTAGTTCTCTTTGTAACCTCAATCCTTTTATTAATTCCTCCTTCCCTTCTTTGACAAACACTCTTTGTTGCCTTTTCAGGTGGAGCTGACAACCACCCTCTTCTGCTTCTAGTACCTTTTCCCAAATTTCTCACGCTTTGTACAGCTATGCGCGTTCTTAAAAAAATAAAACAAACAAAACAAAACTCGGGAAAACGCAAGTTTCCTGAGGGTAAGATATTATTGTGTTTTTTTTTGTATTTTCAATAAGTCACAACGTGACTTACACCGTGGTTGCTCGATAAAAGGTGAATGATCACATTAATGTACAGAAAGAAATCTGAGCGGTCTACCTCTGCTCGTCTGTTGGTCCCCTGGGTCCCCGCCCAGCGCCCGGATCCGAGGTGACGAAGGACCCTTGTTAGGAGACCCAAGGCCAGGCCCCGCGGGCCGCCGGGAACGCGCTCGCCCCGCCCCCTCCAACTGCCCTCGACCTCGCGGGTCCCCGGAGAGGGCGGCCACGCCCCTCGGCGCCCGGGTCCCGGCTCCAGGGCGCACGCGCAGGGCTGGAGCCTTGCGACAAAGCGCGCTGCCGCGGCCGTCCCCTCCCCCTCCCCCGCCGCGCCGGAGGGGAGCCTGTGGCCGGGGCGGGCTGCCGCGGTCGGTAGTCGCCATGGACTCTTCGTGGGATGACCTGACGCTGACCTTCTCCCACACGTCCATGTTCCCCTTTTTTGACATCGCCCACTACCTAGTGTCCGTGATGGCAATGAAACACCAGCCGGGTGAGTGCGGGTAGCCGCCCTCTTCCTCTCCCTCTCAGTGAGGGCTGCCCTCCCTCAGTCCCCGGCCCCCGGCCCGGACGGTTCCGGTGGCCGAGGGGAGGGGCGCCAAGACCCAGCTCGGCGGACCCGTGGAGTACAGATGGGGAAACTGAGGCCGCTGAAGGAGGGGGCCCCGGGACTCGTCCCAGCCGACGCGACCTGGTCCTGGACGCGGCGTGTGGGCGAGCGGGCGTGGTCCTGTCAGTCGCTGCCTGGTCCCCGGTACCGGTGCTGGAGAACCGCGAGCCTCTGCTGCCCACGCCCGCCCGCCGCTCCCGCGGTCTGCTGGGCGCCGCCGGTCGCCCTGGACCGCACGCTCCTGACTTGGTCCCTTGGAGTGACAGGTATTACTGTCCAGTTGTGAAAGTTGTGCAAGCACTTGAACTGTGGAGCTTTGTAGCCTCCTGTGGGTTCTGCAGCCTTTTCCCTAACGCTGTGTCCTAATGCCACGGATAGCAAGTGAGACAGAATGATTGCTTGAGAAGTGAGTGGAGTCTCGCTTTCACAGTCGCGAGTGACATTGCACAAGTTAGTCATTTGGCATAGTTTCGTCACCTGTGGAATGGGCATAGGGGCTTAACACGGGGCTTTTTTGTTTTATTTTGTTTTTTGAGGCGGGGTTTCCCTTTGTAGTTCAGGCTGGGCCTGAACTCACTATGTAGCCCAGGCTGGCCTCGAACTCCCAGAGATCCTCCTGCGTCAGCCTCCCCAGGGCTGGGATTACAGGCCTGCGCCACCATGCCTGATTTAACACAGGCTTTTGTGTTCTTCTGTTAACCATGTGATCAAGGGATGTTTATTTTTTCTCTTCTTATATTTAGGTTATGCCTGCTCCTATGTTGCTTTATTTTATTGCAGTTATTCTACCTTCTTTTTGTATTTTATGAATCTCTTTAAGGTCAGACATTTCTCTCCTTTTCATGTATTCATGCTGCCCGTGATCTGCCTTGTCCTTCAGATGGTTGATGAGTGAAGGTTTAAACATGGTACTGTAACTTTCTTATGGACTACTCGTTTCCTAAATCCTTGGGTCTCAAAAGTATATTTTTACTTACGTTGGAGTCTGTAGCTCATTGTAAATCATTCTTTGGTAGAGATTTTGACCCGGAGTAGAGGAATATTACTATATTTAAGTGGAGCAGATAATTACATAGGATACTGCTTCCTTAATTTAAAAAGAAGTACATTTTGTTTCTAGTCCATATTCAAAATTTGACATTTTCTTGTATTGGCTAAATCAAAAGTTCTCAAAGTGTGGCCCAGGAACTCATGGGGTTCCCTGACACTTCTGGTTAAAATTATTTTCATAATAGTATTCAGGTTTTTTTTTTTTTCACAGAGCTTGACAGTGAATTATTCATCTTTTCACTCTCATTTTCTCGTAAGTGTACAGTTAAATTTTGCAGAGGCTATAATGACTTGTGATAGGGTAAGAGCAATACAGAATACAACAGTTTTTCTCTTCTCACAAAATGTTTTTGCTTTGAAAAAGTTATTTTTCATGAAGAATAAATTATGTTAACATTTAGTGCATTTATTATTTTTAAAAATAACTGAAAACTATTTTAAAGTTCAGTTACATTTTCTACTATGCTAAGTGTTAATACTTGCAAGCCTCATAAACAAAAGCTCTTTGGGTTCCTCCAATTTAAGTCAGGTTTTTATAAAAGGTATATTTGTATACAATATATTCACTATTTTTAATATAAAGTTCTGTGATTTTGGACAGTTATTACCACAATCATATAGAACAGTTTCCTCACCTACTCCAAATTCCCTTCTGTCGCTTTATAGTCAGTCCTTCTGTAGCTCCAGTAACAATTCATCTGCCCTTTAATTTTTAGGGGTGTAGACAGGCTTTAAGACCCCAAAATTTAAGACTCGTTTGGATAACTGTATGCTAATACAGTATTGTACATAGAGTGTAAAATGTTTTTTATAGTACCAGTACTGTAAGGAGGCAAAAGTGATAGATCTTAATTGTATATATTTAAGCTTTTGTGGGAATTGTGTTAGCTTATCCCCTTTGACAGTGTCGATTATTTTCAAGTCCTCATATCTTGTCATTTTTATGATCAGAAAAGTTTTCATTTGCATTTGTCCTGGTTATTAATGAGTGTGTGCTTCTTAGGTTTTTTGACCATTTGTATTTCATTCTATAACTTGCTTATTATCTTTTGCCCATTTTTCTATTGGGGTGTAGGTTGTTTTATTGATTCTCATGGATATTCTACTTATGTGTAGTAAAGGTGTCTTTTAACTTTGTATATAGTCTTTTATGGCAGTAGTTTTAAATACTTCATAGTCAAATCAATTTATTTTTTTTGATAGACAAATCTTAATTTTTCTCCTTTTTCAGTCATGAGATTTATGTCTTGTGTTAAGAATGGCTTTCCTATGCCCAGAATTATAAAAATATTCATCTTTGTTCTTTTTGGAAAAAATCTATAGTTCCAAAAAAGGTTTCTATCTTTACCCTCTCAAGCATTTTACTCTGAGTCTCAGTTTTGAAATATTCTCTACCACTACAATGTCTCCCTACTTTCTTAGCATTTATAGCTTACCATTTGTATTTGTAGACTGTGCCTAGTTCTTAAAAAAAATACTAGTGGAGGCCAAGAGGGTAAAGAGTATTAACTCCACCAGAAGTTTGGAGAAAAATTGCTATTTTGCAGTTGGATATTTGTTTGCTTTAGCAAAGATTACATCAAGAGCTAAGTTGGATTTTTTGTTTTGTTTCATCGTTTTGGTTAGTATATCTTTATTTTTCTCATAATTCCAATTCTTCCTGAATCATGGCATCTGATTATATACAATTTTTAGTTGGGGACCATAGTATAAGGTTTTTTTCCCCTTTTTGTCTTCTGAGCATTTTATTAGGAATTTGGAGTCTGTTACTTTGGGAACTTTCAGTGAGAAACCATTTTAACAGAAAGTTTACGTCATCAATGTATCTTAAATTTTAAATTTATCCTCTTTTTGTTTAAATCTTTATTAAAATAAGACATTTAGATATTTACATCCAGTTGGTCTTTTCCATAAGACTTCTGAAAATTTAATCTATAATTATTTATTTATAATTACTTAATCTATAATTATTTCTCCTACGAGAGAAGTCTTATTGCTTTAAATTCTGCCACAACTGTTTTGCTAACCTCTCAAGACGTATATAGTTCAATTAAGCAAATATTTATTGAAATGCTACTATCCTATATCAAGCACTGTATTAGATGTTGATATAAAAATGAAAAATAATAGTATAACCCTAAAGAAATCCAACTTCATTTTCTTCTTCCTTTAATAGTGTCTCATAAAAGACTCACTATCCTTCTTACAGGTAATAATATAAAATACAAGCAGAATTTTTCAATATGATAATGCTAGTCCTTACACATTGCTGTAAGATAGGAGTTACTGAACCCATTTAAGAATTGAGAAATAGTTTTAAGGGACTAAAATAACCTTCCTAACTCACATAATTTATTAAATTATAGAGGTAGTCTTGACTCCAGATCTGGCAAATTCCCGTTTCTCACCCTTTGGTGTTCTGTTCTCCCTTTGCAGGTCTATTTAATGTTCCTGATTGCTCAATATTTACATTTCTCAATAAGGAATCATTTGACACGATCATTTTCTCTCATGATTTCTGCCATTTCCATATCACAAACCAATTTCTCCTTTGTTTTAGGAATTAAATGCAGGAACAGTTTGTTGTTCCTTCTTTTAATTTGTGTGAGATGAAAGAGTTAATAATCTAAGATTTATCAGCTTGAGTATTGTATAAATTGCTTATCTTTTGCCCATTTTTCTATTGGGCTGTTGTTTTATTTTATCTGGGCAAGTAGGAGCAGTGATGGTAGCACAACTTTGCAGTCTTTCTGAATCCTCATGTGAAAACAGAAAAGCGTAAAAGTCAGTCCAGTGAATTTTCAAAATGATCACACTTAATCAATATCCAGATAAAAATACAACATTCATCATCTTCCAAAAGCCACTTTTGTTAAATGATTTTAAAAACCAGAATAGGTTCTATCCAATGTGATATTAGAAATGACAATCTATAATTAATATTTCTGTGAGTTTAGAGAATTTTGCTTTTTAACAGTTGGGAGATGGTGGTTCAGGGGATTGAGCCTGGGCTAGGGCCTTTACACTAAGCTATATCCCTAGCCATTTTTAATTTTTAAAAATTTTTAAATTTTGAAAATTTTTTTTTAATTTAGATTTTTTAAAATTTTGAGACAGGATCTCAGTAATTTGTTGAGTAGTCCAGGCTGGGATGGAACTTGTGATCTTCCTGCTTTACCTTCCCAGAGCTGGGATTACAGGTGTGCACCACCAGGCCTGACATTTAATTTTTTTTTGTTTCCATAACAGATTTAACTCAGGACCTTGTAGTTGCCAGACAGGCACAGCACCTCTGAGCTACATCCCCAGCCCTTAATTTTTATTTTTTTATTTTGATACTGGGGATCGAACTCGGGACCTTGCACTTGTGAGGCAGGTGCCGGAACCACTAAGCTAAATCCCCCGCCCCCAATTTTTTTTTTAAGTGAAAGGAAAGTTAGAAGTTTTGAATAACCTGACAAAATATTGGTCAGGGAATGTTGTAGAAAGATCTTAAAGTCAAGAGGACCAGAGTCTAGTTCAAACTCTACTACTAATGGACTGTGTAGTTTGGGATAAGAATTTTATACTCAGTATTTTATTTGTGTAATGAGTCTCCTCAGGGATCTCAGTTTTGACTCTAAAGAGCTTTTCCTCTAAGCTTCTAAATTTTAATAATTTTAGCTTATCATTTTTTCCCCCAGAGTAGAAACTGCTTTCTGCATCTGATAACCTTTGTGATGATAGTACTTGCTTTTTTGTCTTCTAAGCACGTAATTAACAGTTTTATATTTATTTAGTTCTTCATATTAAACTCTCTTTTTTTTTGGTACCAGGGATCGAACTCATGACCT